TAGTAAAGAAATGGTGTTGGGGAAATTGATGGGATTGAAGGCTGATAAATCTCAGGGCCTGATAATCTACATTCCAGTGTACTCAAGGAAACGATCCTAGAAATCCTTAGCGGTAATAGCAGCTGGCCCAGGAATTGAACCCCCTGTTGGTATGACTCACCAGCTGCCCAGCCAACTGAGCTAACTCACCCACTCAAAAAGCATGTGTTAAGGAAACGTAGTCAGCAGGATTCAAACCTGCGTGGAGGAAACCCTAATGGATTTCTAATCCATCGCCTTAACCACTCAGCTATGACCACACGAAACTGCTGAGTAAGATAAGGGCCCATGGTGTTAGAGGCATGGTGCTAGCATGGATAGAAGATTGGCTGTCTGGCAGAAAGCAGAGATAGGGGTAAAAGGGTCTTTCTCAGGATGGCAGCCAGTGACAAGTGGCATTCCGCAGGGGTCAGTGTTGGGACCACAACTTTTCACTTTGTACATTAATGATCTAGATGAAGGAACTGGCTAAGTTTGCAAACAATCCAAAGATAGGTGGAGGGACAGGTAGTATTAAGGAGGTGGGGAGGCTGCAGAAGGATTTGGACAGGTTAGGAGAGTGGGCAAAGAAGTGGCAGATGGAGGACAGCATGGGAAAGTGAGGTCACACATGTTGGTAAGAAGCATAAAAGCATGGACTATTTTCTAAATGGGGAGAAAATTCACAAGTCTGAAGTGAAAAGAGACTTGGGAGTTCTGGTCCAGGATTCTCTCAAGGTAAACTTGCAGGTTGAGTCAGTAGTCAGGAAGGCATTTATTTTGAGAGGACTTGAATATAAAAGCAGGGATGTACTACTGAGGCTTTAAAAGGCTCTGGTCAGGCTACATTTGGAGTATTGTGTGCAGTTTTGGGCACCATATCTCAGGAAGGATGTACTGGCCCTGGAGCGGGTTCAGAGGAGGTTCACGAGAATGGTCCCAGGAATGGAAAGCTTAACATATGAGGACTCTGGGACTATACTCATTGGAGTTTAGAAGGATGAGGGGGGGGATCTAATTGAAACTTACAGGATACTAAATGGCCTGGACAAAATGGACGTTGGGAAGATGCTTCTATTGGTAGGAGAGACTAGGACCCGAAGCTTTGAGTAAAGGAATGACCTTTTAGAACGGAGAGGAGAAACATCTTCAGCCAGAGAGTGGTGAATCTATGGAATTCTTAGAGGATGTAACTGGTAGAATTGATTAGGGGAGGCAGTGGATGTGGTTTGTATAAACTTACAGAAAGCTTTTGACAAAGTGGCACATAAGAGTTTGGCATGTAAAACTAAAGCGCTTGGGATTGCAGGCATTATATTTAGATGGATCAAAGACTGGGTGGCAGACAGGAAACAAACAGTAGGAATAAACAGATCTTTTTCCAAATGGAAGCCAAAAGATGAGACGGGTACCACAGGGATCACTGCTAGGTCCCCAACTACTCTCGTTGTATATTCATAATTTAGATGTGGGAGCTAAATGTAACGTCAAAATTTGTAGATGACACAAAGCTGGGTGACAGGGTGAACTGTCAGGAGGATACAGCAATGCTTCAGTGTGATTTGGGCAAGTTGACTAAGTGGGCAAATGCATGGTCGATGCAATAAAATTTGGATAAATGCCAGGTTATCTACTTTGGTAGCAAAAATAGGAAGGCAGATTATCAGCCATGATCATAAAGAATGGCAGAGTGGGTTCAAAGAGCCAAATGGCCTGTTCCTGCTCCTATGAGACAAAAATAGGAAGGCAGACTAACAGCCAGCTATAGGTTGGACAGTGGTGGTGGTGGTGGTGGTGGTGGTGGTGGTGATGGGTTGGCGGGGGGCAGCGGGAAGAAGGGAGGAATGTGCAGCAAGACCTGGGGTGTCATCATACACCTGAAGAAGGTATGCCTGCAGGTGCAGTAGGCAGTGAAGTACACAAATGACATGTTGGGCTTCGTAATGAAAGGATTCAAGCACAGGGTTAGGGATGTTTTGATGCAGTTATACAGGGCCTTAAGGTGAGACCGCACTTGGAATAGTGTGTAGTTTTCATCTCCTTTTTCACGTGATTGCAAACTGACATACAAAGGAGAGGTTGGATTGGTTAGCACTATATTCATGGGGTTCACACAAATGAGGGGGATCTCACAGTAACCCGTAAAATCCTAAAAGGACTAGATAGGTAGATGCAGGGAGGATATATCCGATGGCAGGAGAGTCCAGAGCAAGGGCTCACCATCTACAGATAAGGGGCAAACCTTTTAAGACTGAGACGAGGAGAAATTTCTTCACTCCGAGACAGGTGAGCCTGTGAGATTTACTACTACAGAAAGCAAATCAAGGCCAATACACTGTATGACTTCAAGAAGGAGTTGGATAAAGCACTTGGGACTAAAAGGATGAAAGTATATAGAGGAAAGGCTAGTGTAGGCTAATAAGTTGAATGATCAGCCATGATCATAATGAATGGCGGAGTGGGCTCAAAAGGGCCAAATGGCCTGCTCCTGCTTCTATTTTCCACAGTCTATGTTAACTTTCAAAGGGAAATTCGATAAATGTGTGAAAGGGTAACAGTTACATGGCTGTGAAGAAAGGATATGTGAACGGGATAAATTGAATGGCTCTTTCCAAGATGATGCATTATGGGGCAAATAGAGTCCTTTTGTGCTGCAGAGTTTCAAGATTCTGCGACTTCCTTCCTCCCCACACTCCCATCTCGATTCACAGATTCTAGATTCACAGAACCCTACCGCATGGAAACGGATCATTGGCCCATCAAGTCCACAATGACCCTCTAAATGGCATCCCCCCCAACCCAACCCTTACTCTATCCCTGTAACCTTGCATTTCCCATGGCTAATCCAACTAACTCACATCCCTGAACACTATGGGCAACTTAACATGGCCAATCCACCTAAACGTCACATATTTGTACCATAGGAGGAAACCCACACAGACACAAAGGGAACATGCAAACTCCACATGGGCAGTCACCTAAGGCTGGAATGGAATTTGGGTCCCTGGCGCTGTGAAGCAACAGTGCTAACCAGGGAGCCGCCATACTGCCCACTAGTTAGAAACCTATTAAAGCCTATGGAGAAAGCTTTTGAAAAGTTTATGCAAGCATTTCTGAAGCATTGCATTCCTCAAGTTAAAAGTAGAAAACTCAAATTAACCGCAGAAAAATTTATTTCCCTTGTGTGCTGAAAAAAAGTTTCTGGTTAGGCAAGTTAAAATTAATTGCAACCAAAGGAAATCCAGTTGCATGGCAATATTCTGGAGACAGAATGCGATGAAGATAATGAAGGAGCAGGAAGAGCTAGAAGACCGAAGACCTAGGACCTAGGAAAACCTGTGTTAAGCAGAATCTTGGTACTAGCACTGGCAAGAGCTTTCCAGCATCCATTAACACAGAGCTCTTTGAAGCACAAAGTACGGGAGGTGCAAAATCTCATCTCTTCTTACAAGAAAGAGGAGTGCACAATAGGGACAGCCAATCAAAATTATACAAACTGCATTTAGTGCAAAAAAATGCTTTCAACTCAAAAATAGACCCTACAGAAATATTAACATGTTGTCTGTATTATGGCTAAAGGATTGCCTATGATCGAATAATGATGAAACCAACTTTGAGTGTTCTGTAGTTTAATCAATGAAAA